CTATTAATTATTCCTGTCCAGCCCCATTGAAAAATAGGAAGAAAATTCTATTAGGTCATTATTGTGAATCGCAAGGACCTCAATATAAGAAATTAAAACACAATTTCTTGTCGGCAAAATAAGAAAGAAAAAATATTTTTCCCACTCAGATCTCTCCTCAGTCAAACAATTGGATGAAAAATAATTCAACTTCGATTCCTTTACCATTTTCATGACCATTTCCTTTACTCCTTGTGTAATTCACTCAAACAAAGTATAGCCTTAAGCTTCACAAAAATATAGATTTGTTTGGAATAATTAGAAGCTCTAAAAAATGAAATAATCTTAATAAAAGATAATAATAATGCCAATAAGTTTGTGATGAATAATAAAACAATTTTACTAAATAAAAGAGAAATAAACAAAATCAACTCAGATTTCCTAAAATAGTTATCCGACTAATAAATCGATAACTCTTTGCACATAACTTCACCCTAAGCCTTTTTGGTGCTTCTCAAAAATTTCTGCGTAGATAATATAAACCAAGTAGTGTGCGCACCAGAATCTCCTTTACAGCCCTAATCATTACCCAGTCCAAAAGGTAGAGGTTTCCTGGGTTGGTTAGCTTGGTGAGACTCTTACCAATTACCAGTAACTATTTCTAATGCAACAATACCTAAACTGTATAGATCTGCCTTTACTGTCAAGTAGCCCCTTGTAACAAGCTTTCTGTCATCACAACAAGTTTGGTTAAGCCATACAGGGTAGTCTTAATTTTTACACCTCAAACAAAATCATTAAAATGAAATAAAGTCAATGTGCGAGCATGTAATTATAACATCTCAAACATTAACTAAACATATTTTAAAATGGTACAAATGTAAATATCAAAGTCATAGTGCAGCATTTGCAAAATGCTTTACACAAATATTGGAATACTCAGGTAGGTAAAATATAGATTAGGCCGCCATATCCAAAAATGTTACTCGGATATTCAGGATAATGAACATTTTTTGCAAAAAATAAAGAACGTGATTCACATCATGTACAACCCTACTACAAGTCAATTCCTACCTCAGACTGTCACCCTTTAAGGCTAACTTAGTTGTAACTTCCAACTTGCAATTACTTTTAAGTGCAAATGTAGAAAACTAACAAAACTTGCAATTACTTAAAGCTTTAAGTTGAGTACTGAGCAACATATTATTTTTTTAGCATGCATAAAACCACGCATTAGGATTTGGCGGAATTAGAATAATGCATTCATGTACTACACCACACAAAGATGCATGCGCTAAACCACCAAAGTGAAATTAATAAAGTTCACAAAAACTTTAGAAAAAGAGATGTTATTAATTTGATAAATTAAAGGAAAGAAGCATTGTATTTTTCACAAAGTCGTCCATAAAAAATAAAAATTCTGATTTGGAGGCAATATCCGAATCACAACACAAATCCTTAAACATATATGAATCACCGCACAAATACACAATAGCTGAACTAATTTCACAACAAAACTCTTATATCAGATATCATCTATAAAACAATAGATATAAATGCAACATGCGAGATGTCACTGCCGAAACCCCACAAAACTAGGTTTCACTCAAAAAATCTAAATAAATCTAAAAAAAAATTTAAAAAAAAATTTACGATAAGAGACAAACTCGAAGATAAATATGAAATATTAGAGAGAAGATACTCAAAGATAACACCTAGGTAACCAAACAGGCAACCGAGCAAGAATATCGAGCAATAGAGCCAACACTGACCATCCGAGGAGAAATAGAAGTAGATATTACAAAATGAACACAGACGACAAACCCTAAGCTCTCGGGACCTAAAGGATTTTGAGCGAAGAAGGAGAAGAGTTCGAAGAAGGAGAGACAGCCGAACCCAAGTGGGGATAACTTTCGAGAGGGGGGAATGTGGGGATTAGGGTTTTTTTTATATTAGTATTTATGTTAAAGCATTTTAATTATAAAACTTATATTATATTATTATATATTTATATAATATTTATATAAGTAAAAGTAATATAATAATAATAATTCTTTATTTATTATAATTTATATGATTTAATTTTAAAAAAATATGATAATTTACTTTTTTTTTAATTTAATTAATTATAAATTATATATATTTAATTTTATGAATATTTATTATGTATATATATTTACTTATTTTCGAGCCAATTCGAGCCAAACATGAGTGAACAAATTTTTGTTCGTGTTCGGCTCATTAGGCTTAACGAACGAACTGAACACGAGTTGTTCACGAACAACGAGCCAAATTGACAGCCCTACATCTAAGTTTATTTTTTAACCATGTTATCTTCAATAAGTCGCTCCAATTTTTTATTTAATATAACTATTCTTTAATTTGGCTTTATTAGTTTTTCCATACCATTCTTTAATTTGGCATTATTGAACATTGTTCTTTGTGCCACACTCAACTAGATGTGAATTATTTGTTATAAGCGCATCATTTGGATCTGTACAGTTTATTCAACTTAATTTTGGTTTTATAAAATTCACCATTAAGTCCATCTATTTTCCTTTCATCACACAACTTTTGAGAATGATTATCAATAACGTGTGCATTTTCTATCTTTTGTTATACATATCCAAATCATTAAGTTTATTGCTAATCGTCATATCCTCAATAGATGTTAGCTTAATATTCCTTTATTTTAATCATTAATTAATTTACCGCTATATTTTCTTCATAATTAGTATCAATTTCATTTCTGCTATACAAAACTTAGATATTGATGGCTTTTTGATAAGCCTGACATGCATATCCATATAGTATTGGCAATTTAATCATTGCTTTTTAAATTTTATCACTAAACCCGTTTCAACTCAACCCTTTAATTCAATGTAGTCTAGCCCTTGGAAGTTTTGTCATCATATATATCTTCCAATAATACTAAATGCTGATTGTTAATATCATAAAATTATATATTGTATGCTTAATTTTTTGTATTATTAATTCTATGGCCTCTCTTTTCCAAATGTTTTCTTCATTGTTTTAATTTGCTACCTTTTTCTAAGAATGCTCACCAATGGAAATTATATTTTCTGCGAAAATCATATCTCAAGGAATTTTGAATATTCTTTGTAAGCCTTTTTTTATAAGCACTACAAAAACAAATAAATTTCATGTTGATCGTTACTGTGAACTTATTACAACAACAACAAAAAAAGCCTTAATCACACTACGTGGGGTCGGCTACATGAATCCTTTTTTCTCCATTGTGTCCTATTTAGTGTCATATTTTCATTTAGTTCTAATAAATTAAGCTCATTTTTTATACAATAAGCCCAAGTCTTCCTAGGTTTACCTCTGTCTTTCTTAACATAAGATGAATCTAAATCATCTACTCTCCTAATCGGATTATCAGATGGTCGACGTGTAATGTGACCAAACCATCTAAGACGACTTTCTCTGATTTTGTTCGTCACTGGAGCTACACCAACCCTATCACAGATATAATCATTCCACATTTTGTCTCTAAGTGTAAAGTCACTCATCCACCTAATCATTCTCATCTCGGCAACACTTAACTTAGTATTATGCTTCTCTTTTAAAGGGCAACTTTCAGTGCCATAGAGCATTGCAGGTCTCACCACCCTCTTAAAAAATTTTCCTTTCAGTTTAAGCTGTACTTTTCTATCACAGAAAACGCCCGAAGCATTCCTCCATTTCAACCAACCAACTTGAATTCTACTATTAAACTTCCCATTTATATCACCATTACTTTGAACAACAAACTCGAGATATCTAAATCGTTCATACCTTTTAATAATTTGATCACCCAAAGTTATACTTCTATCACTAGAACTACTACTAAAATTACATTACATGTATTCAGTTTTAGTTCTACTCAAATGAAGGCCTTTAGACTCCAATATAGACCCCCATAAATCAAGTTTTTCCTGGGATTTTTCTCTCGTCTTATCCACGAGAAGTATATCATCAGCAAAAAACATACACCAAGGTACATCCTCCTGTAAATTTCACCAAGTACACCAAGGTACATCCTCCTGTAAATTTCCACTAAGACCATCCATAACTAAAGCAAAAAGATAATGTGAACTTATTGTAATATACATATATATATAATACCAAGATATCTTTGATGCAGGTCAATGTATTAAATTATACAAAATTAATTCTCTGTGTTTGTGATCATATTTATTGTTAAGCTTATTAAAATTAAAAGCATATTGGCGTTCCTTTCTTTTTTCTCTACGCTTCTCCATTACTTGTCTTGTAACAAAATTGTTTCCATGATTTATCTTCCTAGCATGAAACCAAAATTGTTACTCAGAAGTATTCTAACTTATTTATCATTAATTGTTCCCATTTATTGTGGTATTATATTTAATTTTGAGCTTTTTTATCCTTGGTACAATCTTGAGTATCACTTTTACCTAATTATCGGTGCTAACATGCCTCTTTTCCAATGGATACGGAACCTAAAAATTGGCATACTGTAATCCCTCAATTTTTTTCTTAAATGAAAATAATGAGGTTGAGTTCTCTTCGTGTGATGCAAAAGCAATTACTGCAATTTGCATTGGCTTTTTTGTTGAGCTATGATTTAGGGCTTTGTGTTTGATGTTTGTATTAATAATTTTGTTTGGTACTTTTGCCTGAGATCCACTATGTGGTGTTATTATTGCCTTGCTTCAAAGGAGGAAATATTACGTGCGAATAACATAGATGCGGATTGGTGATAACACCACAATACCACCATAATATGACCAAATCCACACCTACCTTGTCCTTACGTAATATTTCTCTGCTTCAAAGTCTGTAGTGAACTAATATAAATAATAAGTTAAAAACCACTTCAAGTTCGCATGCCTAAACAGTGGAACTGTTTTTTTTTTTTTGCGCAGCATAAACCCGGTTTCTATTAATTTAAACTATTGTTTGTATGATATGATGTTTTTACTGTATTGCTATATCGATCAAACAAAAAACATTCACCATTTTGAATTATGAATCAGACAATTGGAGTATCAAAGCAATCAGGAGGAAAACTACTGGCACAGGAAGAATGAGATATCTTCGCCATCTTCCTCGTAGGTTCAAGAGCAACTTTAGAGAAGGTATTATATGCAGTTCATTTGCATTTAAGCAGCTACCTTATTCAGACATATTTTGTAATATACTAAAATTTACTATTGATTTATCTGATCTATAAAAATACATTGTCTGCAGGAACCCAAGCTGCACCCAGGAAGAGGGCAGCTGCTGCTGCTGCTTCTGCTGCATTTTAAGCTTTTGTTGATTTTGACATTTTAGTGTTTTTTTGAACCATTATCTTGGTTTTGTTGTGGTTCGATTGGCTTCAATTTTCATTTTTAACTATTATCTGAATTTGTTCAACTCTTCTTATTCATTGGCCTTGTTTATTTTCTTCAGTGTAGTGATGAATGACATAGTTTTCTTTTATTGTTTGTCTAATGGGGCCAGTGATAATATTGAACTGAATTGCAGTTGCCCTGTTTTTGGTGCTTTGAGAAGACCTAATTTACCGCAGCATTTTTTTCTTTAAATTCTTCTGCTGTTATCTTGTTGGTGGCTTGGATTGTATGTTTCATCTATGCTCTCATATTTTGGTTTATCCCTCCTTTCTACTGGTTTTTATGATATGCGCAGCCGTTTATTTAATCAATGCTGGAGATTCAGTCCTCCAAAAACTGGAGCCAGAAGTTTGAATACGACTTGGTATTTTTATGCCTACGGGATTTTTATTTTTAATTTATGCATTTTAGGCTTTTAGAATTTTTTTTTATTCATTGGGTCAATGGTGCAGATGTGCCTTCACAAAATCTCTATTAAAAAGAAGAAGAAGAAAAAAAAAAACAACTAAACCCAGCATTTAACATGGAACTTCACAAATTGATAGTTGGGATTGGCACTTCGATTTCCTGCCCATAGGCATGCTTAGCCAACCGATCCAGGCCCAATAAAAAAAAGAGAATTTTAGGTAATTACAACTATGAAACGATACATTAATTTCAAATTGTCCTCAAGCATGTTTCTTGTTTCTCTACCCTTTTTAGTGTTCTTGGCTTTGGTTGGAAGAAGCTGAACACTTTATCTTCGGATAGCCATTACAGGCCCCAACTTCATTGAAGACTCCTTTTTTACGATTAGCTGATTCAGTGGGAGGGGTGTTCCTGTACGCTTTTACCACTTTCAGATCAACATTAGTAGTAGTTTTGAGCTGAATCCTAGTCTTTAAATTTGAAGGTCTTCGTATCTCATCAACTTTGTGATCGTTGTGGAGGTTATTGATATATGAGGAAGGTTTATTTGAAGCGGCTGTTCTATTTGCAGTTACAGGGTTGTGCTTGTTAGTCTTTCCATTGTTATCTGTACAAGGTATGTCTAAATTAATGTTAATTTAGCTGAAGCATCAAATCAATTCTTGGTTTGGAAACTATAGTGATTATAGAAAGAGAGGAATGGGGGCAAGAATCCATTTGGGATCATTTTATTTTTTATTTTAAATTGAAACAAAAACATGTTAATTTAATTAATATATGATTGTTTTTAAAAAAAACATTCTAAAAGTGTAAGAATTATTTTGAATTTTTTAAAAAAAACATGTTAATTTTGTTTTATAAATAAAATATGAAAATATGTAAAAAATATATTTAAGAACATATTTTTAAAAATAAAAGGAGAAATAAGAAAACAAAATTAATCCCAAATAGGCCCTCACTTTTGTCTTGTTTTTTTTTCTTTTATTTTAAAAAAAACAATGTAATTAATGGATTTATTGTTTATTTTCAGTTTTAAAAAAAAGAAATTAACCTATTTTTAAAAATAATTAAAATATCTCCAAAATTATTTTGAATATTTTTTAAAAATAATTAAATATATTATAATATTATTTCAAATAAAAATATAAAGAAAATAAAGTAAAATAAAGTAAATGATCCCAACGGGCCACTTAGCTAACCTGATGCCTGCTCTTTTGCTAGTCGTCTTCTCTCTTGAATTCTCTTGTTTTGGGTGCCAATTATGTCATCATTATCTGGACAATGCAAAAAAAACAAAAAAGCTTAGTGTTTGTAATTTTTACAATCAAAAACATCAAATAGCCAAAACATACTGAACAATTGAGCTATCACTCAAGGACATGATAGATAAACATCTCATTCTTAATGCGAGCAGATTCTAGTGGTACTTCTTCACCTTAAGACTAATGGGTATCAATTGATGATCTTTAATAACTCAAGCAAAAGATAATTTTGTAATACAAGCAAAAACAATAACCATAATCAAACGCAGCTCTTCAAATCTAAACAAAATTAGAAGAAATGAAAGCTATTCACGACAAGTCATTTTATTACACTTGTAAGCGATTTATAATAAGAATTGCTACATTTCTCTGCATTTTTTATTTATATTATAACATTTGACTATTTTAAGCAGTTGTGTGAATTTGTATAAATGTGTTTAGGTAGGGGATTGTTGGATAAAACCAATAATGCCTTCATAAATAATGAAACCTATCATATGTAGCACTAAAAACACCAAAAAAAAGTCAGTATGATCCAACATAAAGTAAACTGAATACTTTACTCCATCTTATGGTATCTTGAACTGTACATTCCAATATTTTTTATATTCATAACGCATGATTTTGTTGGCCTTCTCCCAAACTTAGAGACTTCAATACATAACGGCTATATTGTTTCAATGAAATCTCTCTTACACAGACACAGCTTAGGTATTTTAACAGTTTTTTCAGCACTCTAATGAAAGAAAGTTTCTATTAAATAAATGATAATCTGAAATAAAACAGAAAAGGATTAAAGTTCTCATCTAAAATGTAAATAGTTCAATGTGGACATAAAACAGAAAAGGGTTAAGCAAGCTTTAGAAGTATATAGGTACCCGGGCTTGACAAGACTGCGCGAGGCCGAGGAACTGAATCAGCCCAAATATTGCTTCTATTGTCTTCATCAACACCCTTTACAGTCTTCTCTGTTGATCAATCTAAGCAGCCTTAATAAACTATTCCCAATACTTGCAAGAATCTCATAAGAACTTGAGATTTTAAAAACTTTAAAAATCAAAAGCTTACTGACCATTGAGTATGAAAGTTGAAGGTGAATGCTCAATTTTGAAACTTGGACGGGGATTTCTTGTATATGATTTGTTAGAATCGATGTTGCCCTTGTTGACTAAAGACAACAACAAATGAGCAGGGTGTGAGCAAAGATGATGATAAAAATTTGATAAAAGCATTTTAATTTGCTGACACTTCTCCAATTTTGGAAGATTTAGATGAATACCACTTAATTCCTATGCATTTACATATGTAACACCCAAACATTAATTTTTACATAAATATGCCACCTTACCAATGCATGAAAATGTGTATTTCACTTTTTAAAAGTTGAAATAGAAGTATTTTTGATGTGATATGAAAGTTTTGGGTGGTATAAATGTAACAAGTAAAGTTTAGGAGTTAGATATGTAAATACATAGGAATTGGGTGGTATGCATGTAAATGCCCCTTAATCTTTTTTTTATCAAAGTGAGGATTTTAAAATAAAAAAAACAATAATAACTATCACATTATGCCGAGCTTTAGAAAGAAATTTGAAGTTTTGGAATAATTATAACAGAGTACATCTTCATCCAAATTTGTACAAGTGACTGACACAAAGTTAATAGAAAAAAAATCAATGTAGAGAAAGAAAATCTGAGCCAGAGAAGGTTAGAATTGACAAAGGAAACTTACTGTGATCTGAAACTGCAGATGTTGCAGGCCCCTTGTCCTCTAAGGAGAGGGATTCAATAACTCTCAACAGACATGCTGCTGCTACCTCTTGTCGTGCTTCTAATTCTTTCACCCTCAATCGTGGATACACTTTCGTTTGGACAGATGATTAAGATTTTAAAAATCAATAACATTACATAAAAAAATTGCAAAATTAATGTGAAATGCAATTTAAGCTCTAATGTGATAATTAAACGTACACTACTGATATGAATAAGAGATATTTGAAATTGAACAAGTGACAAGATAATAGCCTGATCATGAAATGAAGCTTTTCTATGGGAGTCTTCAAGAAGCTAAACGAAAGTAAAGAAAGGCCATAACAAACCATATAACACGTGTGGGTAAAGCTTATAAGCAAGAAATTCTAATAAATTTTAGTATTAACTTCACATTAATGATGGTGGATACCAAAGTTTATAGCATAAATTTGTCATATTAGTGAAGGATAATGAAGAAGATAGTGAAGAATAGAATGTTTATGAATAAAATTACCTATGACATGCAACAGACTGTTCCAATAATATTCGCTTTGCAGTATACTATTTTCTCTTTTGTTGGATGTAATTGTTTGTACTTGACGGAATTGGAGACTAGGGGTTTGTTTGGGGTAGCTGCAGCTATTTGAAGAACTGACTGTGAAGTTTTAAAAGAAGAAACTACTTTTCAAAAAGCTGTAGTGGCTATTACAAAATTTTTTTTTTTTTTTGAAAAAGTCAGACAACTGCTTTCTAACAGTCACAACATGTAGCCAAGTATGGTGGTAAAACACAACTTTTAGCTGCAACTTTTTTAGAACACAGAAAAAAAAACACTTACCAAACAAGAAAATTGTCACGACACCATACTGCTGCCCCCAAACACACCCTAAATTTGTTAGGGAAACTATCTCATAGCGGCGACAAGAGACTTGGATTTTTGCTTTGTTGACTTCTTTTATTTGCATTGTTCCTATTTTATAATTTTATTTTTGGTTTGCATTTGAATAATTTTACCAAAACTCATACAATCTGTCTTTTTCAATTATGATCTAAGTTCCAATTCATTTGTGATTTTCTATGATCCTAAATTTTTATAAGAAATTTCTATTAGATGGTATTTAAATTATCTAATAGATGTTTTTATGCATATTTTTATAGAAACATGCATAAAACCATCTAATAGAAAATCAACTGGGATTATAGTGCATATGATTTATCAATCAAAATTTCATTGTATTATTCCACTCCATTCAATCAAAATTTTGTTTGCTCAAGTTTTGATCTTTGATGCTTGCATATGAATGTTTAGCAAAATTCTATAGCTTATTTATCTCATCAAGCCCCATTCTTGTGGGCACTATCTCAAGTCCTATGCTCACCATGAACACATCTAAGCATTTTGTGTGCTCAATTAATCCCGCAAGGCCCGTGTCACACTCATACCCCCAACGATATGCCCCATGCCTTCCAACTTATAATTGATCTTCATCCCACTGGACCATTGGTATTTTACCATTCAAGCACACCTTCCAAGTTGTTGCCATCAAATCAAAAATAGTTGATTGATCTTGACTGGTTCACTGTTATTCTATTATTGATTATTTTGTTGATCGCACTCAGTATCTTTAAGATAATTTTTATCTGTTTTCTTTTTTCCCTTAGTTGTTTTTAGAAATAACATGAAACTAAAAGTTCAAGCTATCTCTAAGGGCTTATTACATGATAATCATCATGAAAAAAAACAAATGGCGTGAAAGTGAAAAAAAATCTTAATTAGTGCAAATGCATAACATAACAAAGATGATTACAATGGTAAGAAGCCCATTTGGTGATGACAGGGAAATCTATTGGAAGGAAGCATCGAAGCTAGGTGATCATTCCTCATTATAAAATCATCCAACCCTTTCCTTTGATATTTTAGCCTTCAAACACTTTCATCCCCACTAACAAATTTGGCCTCATGGGTCGAAGCTAAAGCCCATCTCCTTTTTCCTAAAAGGGATGGTAGTTTTGTGGTTTGCACACAATAATTAGGAGTAGGTATGGAAGTAGTCTGTCTAACTCTTTGTTGTTTTATTAATCTAGTATTACTCATGGATTGTCATCAAGTTCCTAAATTTGGATGAGGCTTCTCTTCTTCTCTCTCCATCAAGTGTAGAGGCCAATCTCTTATATTTTAGGACGACTAGTTGGCTAACTTATTATAAAGGGGTTATATTTTTATTTTCTATCACAAAGTTTCTCTTTATGAATGCCTAGGTAAGGCAAAATGATTGGGTGTCAGCACCCACTATTTTTTCCTCACGAACCTCTCCCTCTCTATTCAGAGGTGGAATTATTGTTAAAATGGTTGGGAAGGGAAGCAGGTATCTAGTCCTCATTTAAAGTACTTCTAGACATCTCCTTTGATTCCACACAATCTATAGTAAACAATAGAAACAATATGGCTGGTGGTTGAACGCACAAAGATGAAAGCCATCTTGGCCTGGTAGTCGAGAGCTTTGTCTTTTAACTAAGATATTCTGGACTCAAGGCTTGCATATATAGTGCGCGTGCACTTACGCGTAAGTGAAAAAAAAGAAAAAGAAAAAAAGGTTGAACACACAGCGGCAGAACCTCCCCATCAAACCATTAAATCCTCAGGTACATGTGTAACAACCATAACTCTCACCCTTCAAAATATTGTCCACTTGGGCCTAATGACCTCACAGTTTTGTCCAGCGAGGACATTAGTTGAAGAATTTGATTGCCATCCCAATTTTGAAAAAAATATATATTTTTCGTATGGCTGAATTATACATTTATAGATTCACCACCAATGATAAAGTTCCTTAATTTCATCAGATCCAGCTTCTATTTCCCATCAAAGCGATTCTTTGCCATTCAAGAAGAGAACAAAGACGAACAGTTCTCTCTCTCTTGGAGTTTGACCATGAGAGGAGATCAAAACCAGAATGAAAAACATAATCCCTATCTAAATTAAAGCTCCACGCTAAGGTATCATTATCTATAAATAATAATAATAATACAAAAAAACCCCTACAAGGGTTACCAGATAGCTTGAACTGAAAACATGATTCGGGGATCTTAGACATACGATTTCTGGCTCTTTAAATCCTTCAAACAGAAAGAACCAACACACTAGCCCTAAACCGAAGTACCCATATAATATGACATCTCCTGCTTCAATTGTCCACAAAACACCACTCCTAAACCTCAGAGCAAAGACCAAGCTTTTCATGGAATTTCATTCCACAGAGAGAAAGAAAGAGAGAAGGAGAGGAGCTGCTTACTGATTTCAAAAGAACTTATCCTGAACTTTTTCACCACGGCTCCAGCCGTCAGCTTCTTGGAGCCAGTAACGTCAACGCTCCGTCGCAGGGGTCAGACAAGGAAGGGCAACGGGAAGGAAGGATAACAAAGAAAGGAGGAAGAATTAGAGTCAAATCGAAGAAAACGCTCGCCTGTCCTTACAAATGCGAGTATCTTTGTCTAATCGGTCTCTGTCTTGCTTCGCTTCTACAAAACGCGAATGTAAAAAAATACTCATAACGGCTCCTATCTTTGTCAGTGTTCCGCCGGAGTCAATTCCTTAAATGGTTCCCGTAGCTTCCCCCATCTTAGGCTTCTATTAGGTAAAAATTAATTGTATTTTAATGTATTGAAATGAATACCATCTAATAATATTCCATTCCCTCTTGTCCGGTTCCAACCAACAATTAATAATTAATAACAAAATATTTACATATATACCACTCAATTCTTATGTATTTATATTTATAATATTTAACTTACAATTTTTACATACCTCATATGAAAATTTATATTTACGGTTGAGCATTCAATCTGTTTGGATGACTCGATTTTCAAATTTGTCAAACTGATTGCAACTGAGATTTGAAATCCAAAAAATCAAATCTATCTAAATTTTATATAACCAAATAGAAATTTAATTTGATTTAAATGGTTTGATTTTTAGCTAACCGAAATTTAGTTACTAATTGGAGCTAGGTTTTGAATAAATATCCATGATTACATACCTTACATGCCTAATATTGATGTAATTTTATGAATCATTTTTTTTAAATTTTTTAATTTAAAGTTTTTAGGTTTGCTTAGATAAATAAATTATAAAAATAAATTAATAATAAAAAAATCAAATATTGAGGTTTTAAAACTGAAAACCGAAATGTATTCTTGAAACCGAACCGAATCAGCCAAAATTATTCGGTTCAATTCAGTTTTGACCAAATAATACATACCTTTAGATATATTTCACTTCTTAAAAAATAAAATAATAATATTTCTGATATGGTATGAAATATTTAAGTGACATAATATAAAAAAAAAAATTATGATGTTAGATTTGTAAATACATTAGAATTGTGTGTTATGTATGTAAATGCCTTTAAAATATAATTTACAATTTTTATTAGAATTTTAAGGTTATTTTTGAAAAAAATAACTTTTGAATTTGTAAAATAAGGGTTATTATATATTTTTAAAAGAAAACTCTAAATGTGCATTTCAAAAGCTTAGACATAATGCAAATTAGATCATATAATATGGTTTAAATATTTTAGGATTTTAACGATAGAAATATTGAGTAGTCTTAAATTTATTAGGTTTTTATTTTTATTTTTTATAATGAAATTGCTGGTTCAGATTATAAGGACATAGGAGTTCAGGAGGAACATCATGTTACTACGAATGGGCCCGAAATTTTGAATAGGAGAGGTGGGGGAGAAATATTTGCGTACGTATGACGTATACAGAGTTGCGTACATATTAGGTTATTTGGAGGGTACATGTAGGTTACACTTAGGTTACAGAAAGAATTACAAAAGAGGTATAACCTAAGTGTAACATACCTATACCCCCCGAATAACCTAATATGTACGCAATTCTGCGTACGTCTTACGTACGCAAATATTTCTCCGTTAGAAGAGGCTCCTTTACGCAAAAAATAAAAGCTCTACTTTGATTTTATTATGGAAAAAAAAGAAAATAATATTAATAGAGATTAATGTTATAATGAAATAATAAATAAAATGAAATAGATAGATAAATTATAATTTTTTAAAATAAAATGAAAAATATGCTTACTAAAGAATTTTAAATTATTTAAAATTAATATTATGAATTTTAATATATTATGTATATATATATATATAAAACACAGACAAACGAGCTAATCAATTGAGTTGAATTGTTAGCTTGTTAAGCTCAGCTCATGAGCCATTTATTAAGAGAACTCGAGCCAGTTTACGAGCTTATTTTAGATTGCCCTGCTAATTTTTGTTAATATGAGGAACAACGACATTTATTCTAAACATTAATTCTTATGTATATATCAGCTGTATATATAAGAAACCAGTTTTTTTTTTATTTAATGATAATTGATGACTTATTACATAACCAATTCCAAAATAAGTATTATCAATGCTAAATTAACATTTTAAGGGGTTAATTCGTTGATAATATTAGGACTATAGAGTAAATCAAATATAGGAATTCTAAAATTTCAGATATTTGCATGAAAGAGAAAATACATTCAAGATATTTTGAATATGAAATCCCTTCTTTGGCTCATTTTGAATGTATTGTAAAATCAAGTGAATCAAGTGAATTCATAAAATAGATTGCTTCCAAATAGCATTGCATGACCTCCGTCCTCATACCTGCCTACTCCTTCCTTAAAATCCACATGCACACATGCATGAACACATACGCACGCAGGCACACGCAGTAACATTACCATCGCACGAGGTCTAAACACCTCTATCCCATGACCTTCATTCATCCCCACTTACACATGAAATCTATAGCCCCCTCTATCTCCATCCCCACTAATCATGAGAGTATTGCATACGAATAACATATGTGGGGATGAGCTGTATTTAGAGTGTACTCACCTAGGTATACCCAAGATGCCCCCATCTGCACGTAGAGATGAACCGTGTATAATAGTTTTTTCCACTAATCGTTCTCATGAATGTTACTGTCAACTTTTATCTCTCATTAACACAAATTTTTCTTGTGGCCTTCCCAGAGAAACACTCTCTTATTATGCCCTAGATTCATAATGAGTTGTTGCAAAAAGTATCAGTTGGCCACAAAGGATGTAGTGAGAGGTTGTAATGACAACAATTAGTTTTGTAAGTCGTAGTGGGAAACTACAATAGTAATTAGCCATAAAGACCATAATGGCTAGCTACAAGAGTGTCACTCGACCACATAGGTTTAGCAGAATGCTGTAATGACAACAACTTAGCACATAAGTGGATAAGCTATAATAACAACTGACCACATAGGTTGTAGTCAGTGTTACACCGATTGGTAGATGCAATCCTTCTCTCATGTTTATTATTTTATGCCAAAGATAACACTTGTCGATACGACATTTAGAAATTTTTAGGAGTCTAGAGAAAGTCTCTCCATTCTGAAAAAGTCGATCCTAAGCAGCTGTTTTTGAAAATTATTTCTAGATCTTCAATAGAACGATATTTTTTACACTGTATTCGAAATATTTCGTTACACTATATTCACAATTATTCATTACACAGTATTCCAGATACTTCATAAGCAAATTGAGTTTGCTAACGACAACGAGCAAGGGGTGGCTGGTAGTGGTCCACGATGGTCAGCGGGCGGTGGTCAACGATGGTCAGTAGTTACGTCTGCTCAAAGTTATCATCAGGTTTTCAATTCATAATAACATTGCAATTTGACTATTTCTCTTCCCTTCAAGTGAAGAGAGGGGGTTTATTTATAACCTTTGGGGGCATTTTGATCATTTATTAAATAACTCTCATAATCACCTGATCAGATGACCCATATTGATCTCTTTTGACTATAATTTTTATTTCTTAATGATTTGAGGGTCTCAATGACCTTAGAATTAGGAAAGCTTCGGCTCGTTAAATTTCACTTGTCGAGAAGCTTGGTTTGAATATAAATATGTCAAATTTGAAGTTCATTTGACTATCCAATTAATAATATGAAATCTCTAAATGTGCTTCAATGGCCTGATATATGTCTAATCAGACTTGGATTGAACCAATTTTGATATCATTGGGTTCATCTTATCGAGATGGTCAATTTGACTATAAACTTGTTGAAATCAGAGCTCTGTATAATCTTGGATTTAAATTTGAATTTTTTTTCTAAAAATATATTGATATTCATATTTAATAACAAAAAAATTGTTGAGGAGGCATCACCTATGAAGTTAAAAAGGCCAAAGTTCTTTTTTCATAAAAATGTTCAGCGTAAATAAATAATAATAATAATAATAATAATAATAAAAAGAGTGCTCAAAATTAAGGACTTTCGAGATTTTTTATTTTTTTATGATTAATTAAAATGAATATTTGCTGGTTAGAATATTTTTATTTTCAAAATATAAGCTTTAATGAATCATAGATACCAGCAGCTTATCCATTTCTCCCCACTCTTTCTCCTCCATTGGACGAGAGCCTCTCCACGTCACAGTAGATAGCCTATCAAAGTCCTCACCTTTCTCTCTTTATTGAAACAAAGCCAACCCTCCACTGTCCCCAATCCCATCTCTTCACCCCAAAACCTCCACCGCCGCCTCCGCCGCCGCCATACTCCAGCCAAAATGGCCGCCGCCGCATCCGCAGCCGCTGCCGCGGCAGTGGGCTCATGCTCCACCACCATAGCTCGCCGACATCTTCGCTACAACTTCCTAATCAAAACCATGGCCGCTCGAACTCCCCCATTTCCCTCTCTCAGGCATTTCATCGAACAGATTTCGATCGTCGCTGCTCCCCATGGAAGAAAACTTCCAAGGATGACGGCGGCCGTCGCGCAGGAGGAGGCTGCTGCAGTGGCAAAGGAACAGATGGTGAAAGCTGAGGAAGAAGAGGAATCGACGGAGAGCACCAAGCTTTATTTTGGTAATCTGCCTTACCATTGCGATAGTGCGCAGCTGGCTGGAATGATACAGGAGTACGCAAGCCCTGAGATGGTTGAGGTAAGAAGAGATAAGCGTAAATTACTGTTCTTTCATTTTGTTGATGTTGTTCATGATTTAATTTTCATTCTTTCAATAATTTGTTCATTTATATTCATTTATTTTCTATTCATTTATTTTCTATAAATTTAATTATCTGAGTGTTTGTGATGTTATGCAAATCTGTAATATTTTTCACAGGAATGTTGCATGCAGACTTATCTTTTGATTATATATATAGTTGCATTTTGTAGCTTAGCTTGCAAATTAGGGAGAGTCGTCTTAGATGATTTGGTCACATTAAACTTTGACCATCTGATGATCCGATCAAAAGAGTAGATATTTTAGATTCGACTTATGTTAAGAAAGGCAGAGGTAAACCTATAAAGACTTGGGCATATTGTATAAACAAAATGATCTTGATTTATTAGAATTAAATGAAAATATGACACAAAATAGGATGCAATGGAGAAAAAAGATTCATGTAGCCAACCCCACTTAGTGGGATATAGGTTTTGTTGTTGTATATTGTAGCTTAGCTTGCCACGGGGGCCTCTCTTGGGCAATCTGTCATGCCAAATCCTCTTTCATGCCCTTATGGCGCCACACCGAATCCAATTTAACTCTTAGTTTACTTAAAATGATACTAAATTTGAGATAATTCAGACAGCAATTAACTTGGGTCCTTTTAAGATAATCTGATAATCATATTACCTCATTCTTATGTCTTAATGTTCTTGCCTTTTTTTCCAGGTGCTATATGACAGAGACACGGGGAGGAGCAGAGGTTTTGCATTTGTCACTATGGCTACTGTGGAAGATTGTGAAGCTGTCATCTCCAATCTTGATGGAAGTGTTGAGTACTAAACTTTTTTGGATTCTTTGCATAACTAAACTATTTCTTGAGTTCTCTAAAACATTTTTTTTTTTCTGGGACTGGGAAACAAATTTCAGCAATATTGGCGGTAGAACGCTAAGAGTTAACTTTTCAAACAAACCTAAGCCCAAAACGCCCCTATACCCAGAGAGCGAGTTCAAGCTCTTTGTGGGCAATCTTTCATGGTCAGTTACCTCTGAGGCTCTGACAAAGGTGTTCCAAGAGTATGGCAACTTGGTTGGAGCTCGAGTTCTCTATGATGGCGAGACCGGACAGTCTCGTGGCTATGGCTTTGTTTGCTACTCTACGAAGGAAGAGATGGAGGCTGCCATGGAAGCCCTCAATGAAGTGGTAGGTATTTTGGAATTTTTTCTGAATTACCATATTGTTAGAAGCTTGGGATATAGATTTAACTCATTTTGAAATTTAGAATGATATAATACTCAAATCGAACAATTTTTTAACGGGTGCTACTAGAAATAAATGAGTCACTTTAGATATAATATATTTCATGAACGAGTAAAGTATTTCACTTGAAAATGAGTTATGTCATACTAATATAAGATAGTTGCTATGTTTCTTGTGTTTGTAGGATTTGGAAGGAAGGGCTATGCGGATAAGCTTGGCTTTAGGGAAGAAGACTTGAATGTATGAAGATTTGATGCTGCACAAGCTATACAATAGGCTTTTTATTGATAAATCCTATGATCAAAATAAATAATACAAAAGATTCTTTTTGAAACTTTAATCTAAGATGAATTTATTTTTTGATCATGGAAATTGAGCAATTAGATATATATGATTGAATTCCAGGAAGTATTATTTTGATAACTTTACTCTTTGTTTATTTGTTAATAATTGTAGAATAAAAAATAGCTTTAAATTACAGGGATAACAGATAGAAAACAATGAGAAAGGTTGAAAATTGTTAGTTTCTTGAATTGAGAAAGAAAAAAACTTAAAAGAATTGCTGTAGATCGAAGGGAAAATAAGAACCACACATTTTTTGTGCAACCTTACAATATTTAAACTTGGAGCTAATAACAAACTTTCAAGAAAAAGACCTAAAAAACAGTCAAAAAAATAATAAGAAATAAAATCTAGACAAATGGTAACTAACTCCTAAGATTAAGAAACAAACTTGACTCAATTAAACCTAGACTCAATAAGCAGTCCTAAGCATGTATTCCAACACTCCTCCTTGCTTTAGGAGCTGCAAACACCAAATTTCTGCCTTAGAAACTCAAACTTGCTGATTGAAAGTTGCTTTGTAAACAAATCTACCAACTGATCTTCAGATTTGCAGTAAACTAGAGTCACAAATTCTTCTTTTTTTTTTGCACTTCTCTTAAAAAAAATAATTTGATGTTGAAATGCTTAGTTTTCCCATGAAACACGAGATTATGGGAAATAGAAATGACAACTTGGTTGTCAACAAAAATCTCAGTCCTTTCTTTCTGCTCTAGATTGAGATTCATTAAAATTTTCCTTAGCATATTGTCATTCTTCCTCTTGGGAGAATCATTATCCAAGTCGTCGGAGAAAGGGGAGCTTAGCAGCTTCCCAGGGAGCTGTGAATTGTAGTCTGATTTAAGAGAGCCCGTCCTCTCAACTATTCTGCCATTGTTCTCTGTTGTGAGAATTGTTGCAGCTGCTTCAGCTGCCTTTCTCCATTGATCTGATTGCACCCTAAGCCTCCTCAGCTCAGCCTCCATCTCTGATTGCATTGTCTGAGCAACCTCAAGCTGCTCCAAAACCTTTGTTGCCTTCTTGTTATTCTTTTCAGCCTCCCCATTGATAACACCTAGTCTCATCAGTGCTTCTTATTCTGCAACTTTTGCTCTCTCAGATCCAATATAGCTGCAACATAATTCTTCTGATGCTCCCTGTCTCTTTTGAGCTCCGATTTTAGCTGTTCATTCTCATCCATAATGCTTTGCAGTTGTGTCTCCTTATCCAAGAGATTTGCTTTCAATTATGTGACTTTTGTAGTAGTCTTTATCAGCCTCATCTTCGAATTAAATTGGTTCTCCATTGCCTTATCCATTTCATCTTTCAATTCATCATTAATTCGCGACATGGTTGGGAGTTCTGTTTCCATACTCAAAATGCGAGCTTTCAACTCTAAAAGTTATGCAGTTATTTTTTGTAAGGTTGACTTCAGTTCTAATTCCCTCAGCCTTGCATCAACTTTCACATGCCCAACCATCTCAATTGCTGATTGAATCTTCATAGTGCTTTCAATTTGTTCCCCATGCATTGGATTGAGTGAAAAACTCCTCCCTGTCATCTTAACTTCAAACATCTTTTGGTCGTAGCATCCTCTATCACACAACCCTTCTCCATGAACATCACTTTGAATCCCTTTTCTATTAATTGACCAACACTAAGCAAGTTTTGATCAATATCTGTCACATAGAGAACATCGGTGATCAACTTGGTTCCTGAACAGCTTACAATGGCTACGGTGCCCTTTTCTTTAACTGCAATTTATTCATCATTCCCAATTTTGACCTTCTTGGACTCAGTGCTCTTCAATTCCTTGAATAACTCCTTGTCATGTGTTATATGATTAGTGCAGCAACTATCAATGAGCCAATTTTCACTAGTTTCAGAACTTGTGAAATAAGTTGCACCGAAGAGTTGGTCATCTTCTTCTTGATCTGCCACTTGTGCTTCATCTCCTTGTTGCTGATCTTTATTCTTGCAAATGACAGCTTTATGTCTCATTTGATTGCACTTGCTGCACTTTGCATCTGGTCTTCTCCAGCATTTGAAAGGAGGATGACCTTTCTTGCCACAATGTTGACATGGAGGGTAATCTTTTTTTACTCCTAATCTTTTATTTTCAGTTTTGCTTTTATTCTTAGGTGCAGAGTTTTGTCCACTTGTAGCTTGAAACTTATGGTTCTTGGGCCACCTATTATTTTCATCATCTTGATGTTTGACTGGTAGAGCTCCTTCGACGGCTCCTTCCTCCCTCAATACATGCCTCTGCTCTTGTGCTTGTAAAGCACTTAAGAGTTATGTCAAAGCAATCTTTGACAGATCCTTTGTGTTTTCTAAGGTGGTGATGTTAGCCTCAAATTTTTCAGGCACTGTTAAAAGGATTTTCTGACACGATTTGCTATGTTGAGTAGTATGTCAGAGTACTCATTTATGGTTTCTATTTCCTTTATCTTTTGCAATTCAAAATCACGAACCAAGTTTAGCACCTGCATCCCTCAAATTCTTTCATCTCCTTCATACTCGGATTTGAGATAATCCCAAATCCCTTTTGTCGTTTTTTAACGACATGATAAGAGTGAAGATCGTGGAGGAAATTGCAGCAAACAGGCAAGCTTTTGCCTTGGACTTCTTTGTCTTCTTCTCCTTTTGTGCTTTAATTTGTGCTATAGTGGGATTTTTAGGGAGAAGAGGAATGTCATAGTCTTCTTCCACTGCTTCCCAGAGATCCAAAGCTTTCAGGTACGTCTCCATGCGAATTGCCCAGATCCGGTAGTTGTCTCCGTCAAACACTGGTGGAGCAACTAAGGAAAAACTAGCTTCGATCTCCATAACTGCTCAAACTCGCACACAAGTCCCTTAAGAAGAGAACTCCGACACCAAATTGTTAGTTTCTTGATATGAGAAAGAAGAGAAAACTTAAGAGAAATGTTGTGGATTGAAGGGAAAATTAGAACCACACACCTTTTGTGTAACCTTACAATATTTAAACTTGGAGCTAATAACAAACTTCCAAGAAAAAAACCTAAAAATCAGCCAAGAAAATAACAAGAAACCAAGAAAATAAAGCCAAGAAAATAACAAGAAACAAAATCAAGAAAAATAACAGCTCCTAAGATTAAGGAAAAAACTTGACTCAATTAAACTTAGACTCAATAAGCAGTCCTAAGCATGTATTCCAACAAAAATAATTCAATCTCTCTATGTATATCATAAATGTAGTTATATATTGAACTGCTTTAGTGGATCACTTCTACATTCCTCCTCTTATTTTTTAATGATAAGTCACCACCTAATTGCATGATTTGCATTTCAATTGAGGGTGAATAATAGGACATCAAATTTAGGTCTTATATTATATACAATTGTATAAGAATTTTCTCAAAAATATTGAGACAATGGTCACCCCAACCGTCCCTAGTCATTATGAAATACTCACTTATAGTATGCAATAACATCGATCGATATATGGATCTTTAAAGATGGTTCTACGGTTGCCCATACTTTCATAAAGGAGTAGATCTTTCTTAAGACGTTGTCTTGTCATCATTAATTTTTAAGGGTGTGGTGCTTATAACCTTCCATATTGTTTGGAGATTGAATCATCACATAAAGGTTTAAACTTCATTGGATGGGTGTTTTTTACTTGGTGACTAGAGTTAATTAAAATTTAGTCAATCAAATAATTAGTGCTTGAGCACTCGATTGAGCATTCTAAGTTAGATTGCACTAAAGCCAACAATCTAATCAATTAACTTGAAATCACTTTCAGTCTTTTAAGAATCAATCACATGTAAATATTGAGGATGATATGAAGAAATTTCAATATGTACACTTAAGTAGTAGAACAATAGCTTCGAGCCATAATTGTAAATCCAATTCAAAAATTGCCTTTGTGAGTGTCACTTTCAAATGAATAAGTAAACTTCAAAATATCTAAGTAGTTTTAACTGTTTATCAAACATTTTTAAGACCTGAGAAACCATTTATCATTAAATAATTTCTCTTTAAAAAGTATCCATGAAAAACCATCAAACATTTCATATTGCATTCTCTCCAGAAGACTAAAATCTCCCTAAACTTTGCTCTCCTACTACTCAAAACACTTGATGTGGGAAACAATTGAACAACCTCATATTTTTTACAAACAGAAAAGAATAAAAAAGCAAAAATGTATTAACAATCTTCATGAGTAGCCCATCATGTTGGCCTTCTCTACTATTTCAATCAACCTTTCCTAAAGGTAATAGAACTAGATTAATTCATGGATAATCCAACACCATGATCCGCTTTTGGCATTGAATCTCACCTTCATGGATAGTCCATTTTAATGAATTTGATCTCCAAGCACACTAAAGTTTGTTTCTTGCCAAAGTTAGAAGAATTATATTCCCTAAAAATAGAATTCATTCATCCATCCTTTTGCAATAATTATTAAAAATTTATGTAAAGGCTAGCACATACAATTAATGAAGATACAATATGAGAACTCTAATAAGTAAACAACCATGGAGGTGTCTGAATTCATGAATGAGAGAAGGATGCATTTATGGATGGAATCTATGGGACTACTTTAGAGTTTGGGTAATAGAATTTGGAAAAAAAGAATTGCAAAATTTTGGAGGTTGAATTGATAGAATTAAGAAAAAAAAAGTATAAGAAATTATTGATCAAGTTGAGTTGTTGAAACTTGACTACTTATATAAAAAATTATATATATATGATAAAGTAATGATAAAAATATCAAAATGTGAATATAGATGAAATTAGTTTGAGGTTGGCTTATGAAGGTTTCTATGGTGATTGGCAATTTATTGAGATTTGTTAGGATTGGCTAGCTCATGATATTATGTTAAATGCCTAAATTCAAACTTTTGACCTCTTAGAATGATATTATCCTTAATAATATATAAATTAAGATTCTTACAAAAAACTTTTCAAAATGCTCCTACATCATCTTTCCTAAGTATTCATTTCCATAAAATAAGCCTTAAACTATAAGCAAAAATATGAACTCCCATCAAACCAAATTTTTCATAACAAAATAGAATATTATAACTGTAAGATTAACTTACGTAGATGACATATTCATGTAATATGAAAATGATGGCATGGACTTTTATTTTTTATAAAAAAAACATAAAATGTATTCATTCCAAAATAGCTATTACAAGAATATATATAGACTCACACATTCACACATACAATGAATTAAAATGCACAATGAGAATTCTAACCGGTGATCAACCATGTGAAAGGGGTTTTACAATGAATGTGAGGGAGACTTGAAGAGTTATTGATTTTCAAAACAAAATTGGTTATGTTCAAGGAGGACATGAATGGGCCTTGTTATGCATTGGAAATAATGCATTCACGTATGAGAAATTTAGGGTTTAAATTTTGAGCGATGCATCTTTTCAAGACTTCAGAAGGTATAGATGACTTATTTTGAGATATATGTTCTTCTAGGAAGCCTTGGTTCTCATTGAGCTAATAAAAATTGGCCACTTATATATAAAAATCAAATATAACTAATAAAGAAATAATTAAAATATCAAAACATGATTATATCGAAATTTGGGATGTGTTTGACTTCAAAAAGATTCAATTAAAATTTAGGTGATCATGAAACAATTCTTATGGCTTGTTCTTAAAAAAATGCATCTTTTCAAGACTTCAGAAGGTATAGATGACTTATTTTGAGATATATGTTCTTCTAGGAAGCCTTGGTTCTCATTGAGCTAATAAAAATTGGCCACTTATATATAAAAATCAAATATAACTAATAAAGAAATAATTAAAATATCAAAACATGATTATATCGAAATTTGGGATGTGTTTGACTTCAAAAAGATTCAATTAAAATTTAGGTGATCATGAAACAATTCTTATGGCTTGTTCTTAAAAAAATGCTCTAGAATCAACCCTCTTCTTGAAAGGGTTGGATGCTTCTCCAAGCCTTCAGCTAAGTTCTCAAAATAACTACCAAAGTGCTCAACATTGCAAAAGAGATGCACTACACATCCTCTCAAACACTTCGATAATGTTGCATGTTATCCATTGTTGCATTATATCAAACATTTTCCTTTTGTATGCAATGATTCTGACAAATATCCCACAGTGTATCAGCCCGATATTTAGCTCAATCTTATATGAGTTGAATGCAATGTATAAAATGTTTGCCTTCATTGGAAGTGCAGTCCATCATGCCATTACATAACCTCAATTTTTTAAGCCAACAAACCACAAAACAATTTTTATTTCTTCAACTTTAACACTGGTTAAATCCTTAGTTTCGAACTCCTAAAAGCCAAAAGCATTTTATTTCTATTCTTTTGATGTCCATGAGCCACCACATGAGTTATTTGAACCTCTCTACTCTTTAGCTATCTCAAAAAACCCATATAACACTAAGATTAAGGGTCTGTTTAGGGCAGCTACAGCTTATCCAGCTTATCTAGATAAGCTGTTTATCTTGATAAGCTAATCCGAATAAGTTGTCTGACTGTTTGGTTTGTGCGTTTGGAAAACAGCTGATTTTGGATAACTGACCATTTTGCCACTGTTTTGGATAAATTGTTTAGATGTTTGATTTGTGCGTTTTGAAAACAACTGATTTGCAGTTTTTTTGGTAAATGACTATTATGGCACTGCACAGTGTTGTTGTTTCCAACATAATAAAAAAAATTGACAAATATATCAAAAAGATTCAACCAAAGTTTATATAAATATAAAAACTCGTGATTCAAAGCAAACATAAATAGATGAATAATCTACCATCAAAAGAAGGCAGTAGACCCATAATGATGGGGATCTTGTTTGTCAGGAAAACTTAAATCAAATTTTTGTATGTAGAAAAACATATAAGAAGGTCAATCCAAAAGAACCACTTGGGTCATATGACTTATAAGAAGGTCAATCCAAGAGAAGGAATACCGAAGAAAGAACTGGGAGAGGCTTGGGCGCTCGATCGCGATACAGTACCGGAAGCGAAGGAAGAACACCTGGAACGCGACTTTACCTGGAAGCAAAGGAATGCCCAAGAAGGGCAAGGCTCGATCGCGAGTGCTTAGGGCAGCGGAGTAATAGGACAGTAAACGCAGCGAAGGAAAGCGACCTGTAAGGATCATACCGCGGGCGACGTTATTAACAAAATTGAAACGACGATTTCTAAAACGCAATAGAAACGTGAAAAACAAAAAGTATAGCGGCGTTTTGAAAACGCCGCCCGCTGTTTTAAGCTGCCCCAAACGGGTCCTAAGTGGCGTTTACATAAATAACACACAATTCTTGTGTATTTACATATCTCACACTTAAACAACTTAAAGCTTAAACATATCAAACTAGCATCATTTACCCCTTTTTAAAAGTGAAATAGATATTTTCATGCATAAATGCGAAACACCAAAATGCTTTGAATGTAAATATGAAAGTTTAGGTATGAGATATATAAATACGTATTTCCCTCCATTAATTAATTAAGTTTATGTTGAGGAATTGTCCCTATGGTGCATGTAAGCATTTTTATAAAATTACTACATAGTTTCCAAGTGTTGATAATTGATTGCTTATTTCTCTCTTCTTTCATTCGTTCATTTGAAAACACTAAGCCGAACAACTTCCCATCATCTTCCCCAAATCCCTAAATTGTTTGTTTCAAGCTGCTCCATTTAGTAACACATTTAAGTTGTTGGAGGCTTCTATGAGAATGTGAATATCAATATCATCAAGGTTGGTAGGGCACAAAAGATATGCTACCAAAACCCTACTCCCTCCTCCACTCAAAACATCAGACTCACATCATAAATACCCTAATCCGCTGCTTCGCCGCCACCGATGCCGCCGCAGCCACCGCCGGCGGCGGGGGGCTGCACCCCTCACTCCCGCCA